TACTCCAAACCTTGCAGAGAACGAATCCCTGTCCTAGGAGTGACATGAGATGGGAAATCCATGGCATAAGTAAGGGGACCCAGGCAGAGACCTGTGAGAGAAACAAAACGTGGTAACCTGTCCCTTCTCTCCTTCAGCCAGACTTCTCAGGAAACCTCTGTTCTAATAAGTAAACTTTATATTGTAGATCTAATAGATATTTCTTTACACAAAGAAATGGCTGTGAGATGATTTTTTTGATCCCTTACTGATCTTATAAGCTTATCTGAAACTTAAAACTTTCAGATCTTTTAAGATGTTTGAAACCTCATATGTATGGATAGATGATCCTACTGTCAGCAAATACTCTCTCTTTTTTCCTCTCTTCATATGTCACATTTGTTTTGGCATTATTATTATTATTGCTCTGGCTATGTATTACAATGTAATAGTTCACCCTTAGAGTTTTTCTTTTATTGCTTCCAATACATTTCACAGTAATGAGAATAAGAAGGGAATTAAGGGTACAAGGTCAGCTCAGGCTTGCAGGAGTGAGAGGGTGAGCTTTAGACTAACTCAGATCAAGGGCCTGCAACCATCCCTGTCACTTAAGCAGCTATGGGAAGTTTGTCACACCATTAAACTCTCTGAGAGAGCCTTGGGCTCTTTAACTCTGAAGGGAGTTTGGCAAGCCCGGCCTGGAAGGACTGGTGGCATGTGGTGGTAACTGTAAAGCATCTGCCACAGTGCCTGGCAGGCACCATATCCCTCCTTTCTCATGACTGGTGGCTGTACTTTCCAACGAAGATCTGGCCTCCCTGAGGCCTGATACAGGGCTTCCCTGGTGGCTCACCAGTAAAGTGTCCGCCTGTGATACAGCAGCTGCAGGAGACGCAGACTCAGTGTCTGGGTCAGGAAGATCCCCTGGAGGAGGAAATGGCAACCCACCCCAGAATTCTTCCTTGGATTATCCCATGGACAGAGGAGCCTGGCGGGCTATAGTCCATGGAGTCACAAGAGAGTCCAACATGGCTTAGCAATTCAACAACAAGAAGGCCTGGTATAAAGAAGTGAGTGAGAGCCTTGCCTGACAGTCTTCCCCTGAGCTTTCTAGAACTGAAATCAAAGGGTAGGGCATGACTCTCTTTTGTCCCTCTATTCAGGGATGAGTAGACCCCTCAATCTTCACTCAGGCTTCACAATTTGACTTCTGGCGAGGCCTGGGGAATCCCCTCCTTCTTGACCTGAGGCCTACCTCCTCATAGTTAAGACCCATACCTCCCTGTGAGCATGGAGGAGGAAACAGGGTGGCCTTATCTAGCCACCCCTGCCCATAGTCTCACAAGAATGAAAGCTGTGACAAGCTCCTTGAGGATGACAGACAGTTCCTCTCAGGGTCCCAAATCAGGGTCCCAAATTTGACTCTCAGCCAAGCCCAGGAATCCCTCCTCTGTTGACATGGGAACACCACCATCAGACCAAAGTTCTAACTTTCCTGCTACTCCTCGGTCAGAACTGAAGGGCTCCTTTGCTTGACAACTCTGCCTGAGGCCTTCTAGGCTGAGAGTAGGGAACATACTGTGTGGCCACCCTGGTATGTGTGTGTTTCCTCGTTCTTTACTGTCCTCACCCTGTCTTGGATAACCTTGAAATATTCACTAACTGGAAACATTCCCTGACTTTCCTTAAAGTTTCTCCACCCAGGCCACTAATTCCCTGAGGAAGAAGAGCAGTTTGCCTCATGGGCCACCACAGGCCATGGTCTTCTGAGGCTAACAGCAGTGGAAGGAATATGTTCTGCCTCCACTGTTTTGAGGCAGATGGTCTTTTCAAGTCTTCAGCTTCCTTACCTTGACTTCTGGCACAACCTGGAAATCATCCTTCTGCTGAGCTGTGGCTGCTCCCTTTGATCAGGATGAGGTTCGTTACCTCCATGTGATCCTCTGGGAGGAAGTGAGTAGGACTCACCATGTCACCAGGACTACATGGCACAATCTAAGGCCCAACAACAGGGACAGTGCCCTCTGTAGCTCCCTTTTTTCTGGGAAGGGTCATTTGTTGTTGGTCAGTATCACCAGCTGACTCCTGTTAGGAACTGTGTACCCTTCCTCAGCTGATAGAGGCTTCCTCCATTAGTCCAAGGACTTTAATGCCCTGAAGTCATTTTCCTTCAGGAAATAAGGGATACACTTACTCTGAAATCCCTGCCTGTTCCCTCCCAAGGCCCATTACATTTGCAGGACTTTAAGAATTAATCTGTAACGGGGTAGTTGGCTGCCACACTCCTCATACAGGACTGTGCAAATGTCATGCCTGACACTTCCACTCTCTGATGAAGAGCCAGCCTATAAACCAAGGTCATCTCCTTGACACCCTCCATGCAGAAGTCACGGGGCCCGTGAGCTGGCCAGCACTTCATTCTCTGCCTCCCAGGGTTCACTGGAGAAGATGGGCTAAGTGTAGCCCCGTTGGCTGTGAGTTGAGGGGCTTCCATGTCCACACCCTGAGTCTTCACTTTGACTCTGCACCCTTCCTGGGGCTCTGTTCTCTGCTGATTCCAATGTCCCCACCTTCCTGGGACCTGAGTTGAAAGTATTAACCACAGCAGCCCAGATAGTTCTGGACTTCATGGGCTTGCCAGTGAGGACAGGTCTTTACAGGATCCTTCTGTTCTGGATGGGTCTTTCCATCACCCTCATTCAGGTTAATCACCATCATTTCTGAGATTGATTCTCTCTACCAACCTCAGAACTCTGTGCCAAGACCAAGTTTCTTAGGTCTCTGAGAAGCCTGAAGAATAAGTGAGGCTATGCTAAGGCTAATAGGCTTAGCCTAACAGTTCTGAATTCCTCTGTGTCCGAGAGCAGAAGGGAATGCTGTCCCAGTGACCATCATCCCCCATATTCTGGGGTGTTGCTCTCCTCAATCCTCCTACATGGGGCCCTCATCTTGCTTTCTGTGTCTTGGATTTAAGGCCTTTGGGGAAATTCCACGTCTCTACAAACTCTTGAGCTATGTTTGCTCTGCAGTGCTACAGAGAATGGGTCCCTGTCCCAGGAGTGATGGGAGATAGAGGAGCTATAGTCCAAGATAGGAGTCCCAGGACAGGTGCTAGTCCTTTAGGGAGAAAAAAGTAGATCAATCTATCTCATCAGCCAGGTAAAGGTTCTCATGTCATTTCTCTTCTGATAGGTTTACTTTCTACAGGGAAGAAACTGTAAGGATGATATGGAGACTCCTTGATCTTCAAAGGTTATCTAACGGTTGGCCAATGTATATGCTTATACTGTCTCTGAATATTGTTTCTTTCACTTATCTATGAGTAATGAATAAGGGGTACATATCTCTGGTTAAGTATATTTGGTATTCTTACTGTTCTGGCTACACACTTTGATCCAGTAGCTTGAGCACAAGGGCATTCTTTTCTATCACCTAGGACAAATTTTGGAGTACTGAGAAAAGCACTGAAATAAAAGAAACAGGGTGGGGACTTTTCTGGTGGTCCAGCGGCTAGGACTCCAGGCTCCAATGCAGGGGGCCCAGGTTTGATCCCTGGTCAGGGAACTAGACCACACGTGCAGCAACTTAAGATCCAGCACAGCCAAATAAATGAATGAATAAATAGTAAATAAATAAGGAAAAGGAAATGTCAAATGTTAAAAGTACTTGTTAAAAAAAAAGGCAAGGGTATGTCTCAGGTTGGGGGGAGAACAACAGTAGGAGTGCTAAAGTAGTTTAGAGCAGGTATTTATTCCCTGATGTCATTTACCAGCCTTATGTATTTCGGCACAAAACCAAACTCTATGAGCCTTGGGCTCTCCACTATGAAGTAAGTTTGATAAGCCCTTTCTTGTCAGATTGGTGGAATATAAGTATTTATGGAAAGCTTCTGTCACGGCACCTGTCTCTACTGAGACATTAGAAGCAATGGCAGTTATTACTATGATTATCTTGACCTCAGATGTTACATCAGCTGGATTTTTTTTCATCTATCAGATGTCAGAAACTACGCAGTGCATAAATGCAAAAAAAAAAAAAAAAAGACCCAACCTCCCAAATCAGCCAAAATTCTGCTTAGTAATGAAACGAAAGTACTATGTTCTCTCCAACCCCTCTTCACCCTGCTTCTTTCTTGTTCTTCTTTGAAGTAGAGAGTATCTCAGCCTCTTCCATAGAATGACAGCACCTCTGAGAAACTATAATGAATGGACAGAGGCTAGGACTTTTTTTGACTAAACATCACCAGTAGAAGCATGAAGACTTCTTAAGAGCAGATTCTCAATGTTTGTGTGAAAGAAGAGCCATAAATCAATCATTTGCTGTAATTTTTATTCTCAAACATTCTTGAAAAACATAAGCAGATGCAAGTATGTATCTTTTACATTTGCAAAAAGGGAGACTAAACACAGAGTTAAAGCAAGCCAAAAAGGAAGAAATTTCAGTTATCTCCCTAACAATGTATCGATGTTCTGAGCCTCCATTAGTGTGGTGACTTTCACATTTCTAAGGACACTCTTATCCTAAAGTGATGTTATTCTCGTCCTGGATCACAGAAGTGATGTGAGGATTTCCAATATTTATTTTAGAAAACAAAATTCTTACTCCTAAATTAGACAAACAGCAAACTGTGGTGACACATGTTATTCATATACTTATGTCATGAATCTAAACTTTCTGTTGAAAAATTTTAAGAACTGGAAATTGGGGGACATAAAGTCAACAAATTATTGATGCATATCAGGAACACAGGTTGACAGGCTTCTCCAGCCACAGAGTGAACAACGGGCTTCAGACCACACTAGGGGCGAGATGAGCGGCTGCATGCGGCCCTGGGGTGCACAGTAGCCGAGGAAGAAGGGCCAGCAGTGGCTGAGGCAGTAGTGCCAGGCCCAGTTGAGGCAGAAGGGCCAGCACTGGCTGAGGTAGAAGGGCCAGCACTGGCTGCAGCTCTGGCTCTGGTGCTCTGTACTTCCTCTCTCCAAGCCTCCTCATAATTCAGCAGGAGGGCAGTATGGGCGGACCTGTTGACCTTGGCCAAAAACTCCAGGACTTTCGTCTTGCCAGATTCTGCGAGCGCTTTAGGACCCCACAGGAACTCATAGCGAGGGGGATCGCTGCCGGGCACCTGGCGGTACTCCAGGAACTCTTCCCGCACCATATCTTCTGTGATGAGCTTCCTGGGCTCTCCAAAGATGAAGTGATTTCTTCCATCATAGATGCCCAGCATATTCAGGAACTTCCAGATCTTCTCTTCAGGGGCATGGTTGCCATTCAGGTAGATGACACCTAGCAGAGGCATCAGAAGACCATTCCTCGGCAGCCCCCAATCACCTCTCATAGACTCACTGTCGCCAAGATCTAGGTTGCTCACCAGAGTATAGGAGTGACTGTTGGGCCTGACTTCCTTCAGCACCAGGCCAAACACCAGCTCCATGCGCTCAGAGGCCCTGCTGAGGATCTCAGGGAATTGCTCCCTGTACCTTTTATTGACTGTCTTCAGCATTTCAGACCTCTTAATGAGCTCCCTCACTTTATACTTATAGAGCATGTACTGCAGTAACATCTCTGCCTTTCTGGCCAGAAGATCTGTGCGAGCACTCCCAGCAGCAGCTGAGGCCTGGGAGGAATTTTCACCTTCCTGAACTTGGCCCTCGGCATCTACACCAGATTTTGAGTGTGCTCCACGTGCACCAGCTCTTGAGCGTGCTTTGCCACCGACACCAGATCTTTTGCGTATAGCACCTGTAGCAGCACTGGTGGTGCCTTGGGCTCCCTGAGGCCCCTTGGGGGAGCCAGCGGCAGACGAACTTGAGGGAGCACTCTCTGCATCAGGAGGGGAGGGGGAGGCGGTCTCCTCTCCCCCAGATGTGGTGGCCTGATCATGAAGACCCTGGGTCTCAGTCCGGGCCTGGTGACGTTTCTTACGAGCTCGGTTCTTACTCTTCTGCCCACGGGGCATGACGGCCGTGGACAGAAACTGCAGGCAGGAGTCTGGGCCAATAGGGGATTGGGGCACCTGGAGGATGAAAAATGAGGTGACATGAGCACCTTAAAACAGGGAGATTCTACCTTGGCTTAATCAAAGGCCGCCTCTGCATGTGTCCTTGAGGACACTGCCCAAGGAACCCACAAGGCTCCTGTTTTCCTGCTTAGCCTGTCCCCACAGAATCCCACAGAGGAAGAACAGAGGCCTTAGTTTTCCTCTGCATCCGCTCAGCCCTGCTTTGGATTTACTCAGGTGACAGCAGGTGCTAGCAGTGGGGTTTTCTATGTTTTACTTCAGTATTATCACGTCAAGTCCTGGCGGAGCCTGGGCACCCTTCCCTCTGCTACTCTGAGGTAGACACTTTAGACCTCCACATCATCCAGAAGCAAGTGAAGGGATGCCTCAGTCCACCTCCCTGTCAGGAGATAGATACCCAGTGCTGAGAGCTCAGTAGGGTCTTTTCTATCCTGAGTTCACTGGGATCATCATCCATGGTCCTTACCTTGGCTCCTTAAAATGTTTGGCACCATTCTCCATTTGCTGACTGGTGGCTGCACTTTCAGACTGACATTTCCCCTCCCCTAGACTTCGTATAAGACAGTAAAGCAGATGTTCAACCTCACAGCCCATCCCTGACATTTCCTGAGCTGAAATCTGAGGGTCGGAATGGATGCACTGAGTCCTCACTCACATTCCTCAATTGAGCTCCTGGTAGAGAAGCTCAACTTTCTCCTGAAGTGATGACCGCTTGACAGTAAGAGCCAACCACCCTATGTCCCAAAAGTAGGAAGTGAAGATGACCTTATCTTACCAAACACGGTCTCCTGAGAACAAAATCTGTTGCAGGCAGGTTGATGTCCCTGTGGACTCTCACAAGATCTCAATTCAAGGTCTAAAGTATTTTTTTGCTTCTGTTTTTTTCTATATGTCTTTTAGAAAATAAATTTATTTTTTACAATACTACAAAATTAATTTATAATATTCTACCAGTTTCTGCCACACATCAATATGAATCAGCCATAGGTATATCTTATGTCTCCTCCATCTTGAAACTCCCTCTCACGTCACACCCCTCTTAAGTTATCACAGAGCACTGGGTTTGTGCTCTCTGTGTCATATGACTAATTTCCTCTATTTTACAATATGTATGTTTTCAATATTACTCTTTCAGTCTGCCCCTCCCTCTGCCCTTCCCCCACTGTGTCCACGAGTGTTCTCTGTCTGCATCTCCACTGCTGCCCTGCAAATAGGTTCATCAGTACCATCTTTCTAGATTTCATATATATGCATTAATATATGATATTGGCTTTCCTCTTTATAACTTAATTCATTCTGCATAAAAAAAAACTAGGAATAAAACTACCACATGAGCCAACAATCCCACTACTGGACATATACCCTGAGGAAACAGTAAGGGAAAAAGACACTTAATACTCATGTTCATTGCAGCACTATTTACAATAGCCAGGACATAAAAGTAATCAAGGTCTACATTTAACTCATGACAGGGTCTAAGATTTCTCCCTCTGCTGACCACTCCATTCAGACCAAGATCCTTACTTCCCCTTCCCCATTAGCCCACAGTGGGAACTGACATGTATCCTTGAAGTCTCCCAGGGATGACGACAGAGAGATGTGGTCTGAATGACGTGGTGTGGAACATCCACAGCCCTCAAGGTTCTCACCATCCACCAGGAAACCTGAAACCCTCCCTTGCCAACCTGAGGCTGCCCCCATTGATCTGGTCTCTCACTTCCCTGAGATGTCCTGGGAACTGTCATGTCAAAACTTCCAATTCTCCTAGTCCTGAAAATAAGACTGGCGCTTTATGTGACTCCATTTTAACGGGAGGAGCCCCCATCCTCACGGCCATTAATGGCGTCACAGCCATTAATATTGTTGGGGACTAGGTCCCTTTGTTGAACTGTTATTCCATTAGAGCAAGGCTCTCACCTCCCCGATATCACCTCCAGAGGACACCAGGGGGCACCACAGTTGGCCAGCTCTACCCGGAGCCTCCCAAAACCCAGTATAGAGGAGCCGCTCAGTGTGGCGCACTTGTGGTGTCGAAGTCTGCTCATCGGCCCTCAGGGCCGTTATCTAGGACCTAGAGCTCCTGCGTGGGTAGAATCCAGGCCTACCCCCACAGACCAAGGCCTTCGCCTGAGACACGCTAGACCGCATTCAGCCGATAGCTCTGAGGGACTCATAAGAGCCATATTAGAGGGGTGGGATGTGGATGGGTCACTTTTATTACTGGGAGAGTTGGGAAAGTCCTTTAAACTACATTCAGGTCCTCACCTTGGCTCCCGATGAGTCCTGACACTGAACAGACGCCGAACAGACGCCACGGCTACCGGTCGATCCGCTCGCTTCCAAAGCGGAAGTGGAGGGGAGCTGCGTAAGGCCCTACGTGGGGTCTCCCAGGGATGACGTCAGGGGCGACATGCTACGGGAACCCACTAGTTCAATATTCATCTGTCCTTGGGTCCTCCTTGTGCAGTGTATCAGAGCCCAGGACGCCTCCTTCTATGAACCCGAGTCTTCCCAAGTCCCTAGTAGCAGGAGTCCAGCTCTGCTCTGAGCATCTCTGCTTGTCAGGTGCATTGCCATTCTGTGAGCCTCCCTCGTTGGCAGAGAGATCCTCTCACTAGCACTGATGGTTCTCTTCTTAAGTCCGGTTATGATCAAGATACCACCACCTGCAGATCTGGGTTCTGATCTGGCTAGAGGAGACTCAGCCCTCACTAAGATCACACAGGTTGAATGAGGGAACAATTCAGAAGTAGCTCTTCTGGGTCTCTCAGGGCTAAGAATTTATAGAATTGTTTGGCTCCCTCTGCAGGGGTCCCCTCTAACACTCAGCATCGCATGTGAGATCCACGTTGGGCTCAGGTCCGTCCCTCTGCAAAAATGTGGCTGACTGTATTAGACCGAGGTCTCACCCAACTAAGACCTTCTAGACTGAAATCAACCTGACATCTGTGCCCAGAGCTTCCTGGGGAGCACAGCATCAGTGATTTTCCAGGGCCTCCTTTTATAGTGTGTGCTACCATGAGTCCACTTTCTGGTCCTCACATTGACACGTGACGAATCCTGTAACTCCACTCTCTGTTTTATGAAGCTTCTTGTCTTACATCAAGGTCCTAGTCTCCTAAGAATTCCAAGTGGGAAGTCAGGGTGATCCTTGTGTGACCCTAGTCCATCACGGCCTCTGAGAATAGACAGTGGGGATGCAACTTGAGTCCTTCTGGATTCCTCCTGCTCAGCATCCTCACTATATCTACCACAGTCAGGGACTGCTACTTCTACTGATCTAAGATTCCTCTTCTTAGTCTTTGGGTGACCCCTATATTCAGGGATGATTGTCTCCTCAGCCCTCCTTCATGGAGGTTCCCGTATCAGCCTCTGTCCCTTGATTAAGGCTTCCTGGGAAATGCATATTCCTATAAACAGTGAGCAGTTACCCTCTAGCAAATCTTGGAGAAAACGGGTCTCAGTCCAAAAAGTGATATAAGATTAGGAAAATGCAGCAGAAATGAAGGAACTCAGGACAGATGTTATGATGTCAGAGAGATATAGGTGATATATTCCTGCTCTTCAGCCAGATTTATGGTATGTGCTTAATCACTCAGTCATGTCCCACCCTTTGTGACCCCATGGACTGTAGCCTGCCAGGCTCCTCTGTCCATGCAGATTCTCCAGGCAAGAATACTGAAGTGTGTTACATGCCCTCCACCAGGGGTTGTGCCCAACCCAGAGACTGAACCCAGGTCTCCTGCATTGCAGGCACATTCTTTACCATCTGAGCCACCAGATTTAGGGTAGTTCTAAAATATTTACTGTTGGCACCTCCCTGTTGGTCCTTTTGTTATGCGCTCCTTTTGTTAAGCTGAGCACCGAAAAATTGATGCTTTTGAACTGTGGTGTTGGAGAAGAATCTTGAGAGTCCCTTGGACTGCAAGGAGATCCAACCAGTCCATCTTAAAGGAGATCAGTCCTGGGTGTTCATTGGATGGACTGATGATGAAGCTGAAACTCCAATTCTTTGGCCACCTCATGCGAAGAGTTGCCTCATAGGAAAAGACCCTGACGCTGGGAGGGATTGGGGGCAGGAGGAGAAGGGGACAACAGAGGATGAGATGGCTGGATGGCATCACTGACTCGATGGACATGAGTCTGAATAGACTCTAGGAGTTGGTGATGGACAGAGAGGCCTGGTGTGCTGTGATTCATGGGGTCACAAAGAGTCAGACACAACTGAACTGAACTGAACTGAACCGAAAGCATTCTATAGCTTCAAGATAATCCCTATCAAGCTACCAACGGTATTCTTCACGGAACTAGAATAAATAATTTCACAATTTGTATGGAAATACAAAAAACCTCGAATAGCCAAAGAAATCTTGAGAAAGAAGAATGGAACTGGAGGATCAACCTGCCTGACTTCAGGCTCTACTACAAAGCCACAGTCATCAAGACAGTATGGTACTGGCACAAAGACAGAAATATAGATCAATGGAACAAAACAGAAAGCCCAGAGATTAATCCATGTACATATGGACACCTTATCTTTGACAAAGGAGGCAAGAATATGCAATGGGAAAAAGATGACCTCTTTAACAAGTGGTGCTGGGAAAACTGGTCAACCACTTGTAAATGAATGAAACTAGAACACTTCCTAACACCATACACAAAAATAAACTCAAAATGGATTAAAGATCTAAATGTAAGACCAGAAACTATAAAACTCCCAGAGGAGAACATAGGCAAAACATTCTCTGACATAAACCACTGCATGACCCACCTCCCAGAATCTTGGAAATAAAAGCAAAAATAAACAAATGGGACCTAATTAAACTTAAAAGCTTTTGCACAACAAAGGATACTATAAACAAGGTGAAAAGACAGCCTTCAGAATGGGAGAAAATAATAGCAAATGAAAAAACAGACAAAGGATTAATCTCAAAAAT